CTCTGTTTCATGGCAATAAGTTTTTACTTTAGTGCCAAGCACAAATAAAAATAAAATGTGAAACCATAATGGAAAGCAATGCAAAATGGGAAAGATAAAAAATTTAAATTTTCGGCGTTGCCGACGTGGTCTGTTTTTCCGAGTTTGGGTCGGAAATTCGATCTGGATAATCGCGATCGTACTGTGGTCGTCGGGCTGTCTCGGTAAATTTAGAACAAAGCTCTCATACGGGGTGTCACACGCGTAAGCAAACGGAAAAGTGATCGAGCGTTGTCGGTCGAGTTTAGACGACGATGTCGCGTTAACGACAAGCGGATGCGAACGGGGCCCTCCCATTAAGCTATTTCGGTACCCTAATAAGCCGGTTGACAGCTGCGATATGTCCAATTTATCATGTCCCGCGGCGGGACGCGACATTTTAAACAACCCAACGAGCGACATCAAAAGATAAATCGATGATTTTCATTAATTTCGGAGGCCCTCGTTTATTTTTGTTTATTTTTGCGCCAGGTCGTTTTTCATAGCAACTTTGTCGCTCGCCTATACAGGGCGTTTTGTAAATGAACGGCGATATTTGATGGAGCGATATTTCAGTCTGTTTTACACAGAGTTCGTATAAACTTTTCAGATATGCAAAGATATTTTAGCAAATATGCAGTATGTTTTGAAAATGTGAATAAGCAATATAAGAAGTAGTATTGGCCTTTTTTTCACTATTTCTTTTTTTTTCTTTAAACCTTCAGAGGATTGATGATGCAAAAGCTGAAGAAGAAAATAAAAACGTGTAATATTCAAACAATAGCCTCTGATCGGCATGATATCATCAATATCTGCGAATAAGAATCAATATACTACCACAGATGATTAACATTACAAACATTATATACGTACAAGGCAATGGTTGCACCTTCAGAAAATTGACGAAGTAAAAGCTAAAGAAGAAAATAAAAACGCATAACATGCAAATAATTTCTCTGAAAACAATAACAAAATACATTAGAAGACAACAAATGGCAAGTCAAAACAGTGAACATAGTCACAATGTCATTAATATTTGTGAATAAGAATGAATATACTCTACCACAGATGATGAGTAAAACTTAATAATGTTCGTGTTAACTTCGAAATCAACATTATAGAAAGTAATATAGATATTAATATGATAATCAACATTCAAGTGCTCGGCTGAAGACACAAATAAAGAAAAAATATCAGATATATGGAGAAACGATTTTAGATTTCGATGTATAAATGGCAACTATACAGGGTGTTCTGCAAAAAAACGTCGACTATGTATAAATGGCTTCGCGTTCGAGATAGGCAAATATATTTCAGCAAGTATAAAGGGTGCTTTGTAAATGTACGTTTATAATTAATTAGACGATTTTTGTGTCTCTTCTAAGAACAAGTCCTCACACGGACTATGTATAAATGGCTTAGCTTTTGAGATATGCAAAACATATTTTAGCAACTATACAAGATAAGTTGTAAATGAACGTCGATATTAGAGGAGACAATTTTTGATTCTCATCTAAGAACAAACTACGTATAAATGTATGACTATGACTATGTATAAAAGGCTTAGCTTTCGAGATAGGCAAATATATTTTAGCAACTATAAAGGGTGTTTTGTAAATATACGTTTATATTTCATTACAACGATTTTTGTGTCTCTTCTAAGAACAAGTCTTCACACACACGTAAAAGTGGTGTAAATTTTCGAGATACACAAATATATTTTAGCAATTTCACAGGGTGTTTTGTAAATGAACGTTGATATTTGAGGAGGCGATTTTAGAATCTCATCTAAGAACAAGCCTTCACGCGAACTTTGTATAACTATACAGTATGTTTTGTAATTAAATGTCGATAACTGAGTAGACGATTTTTGAGTATGTTCTAAGGACTTTTCTTCACATGGACTTTGTACAAATGGCTTAACTTTCGAGATAAGCATTTTCGCAGCCATACAGAGTTTTTTAAATGAATGATATTTGAGGAAACAGTTTTTGATTCCCTTCTAAGAACAACTTCAAACGGACTTTGTATAAATAGTAACGGACTTCGTATAATAGCTTAACTTTCGAGAAGTCTTTTTGTAATTATACATCGACATTTGAGGAGCAGATTTTTGAGTCTCTTATAAGAATAAGTCTTCACATGCATTGTGTATAAATGGCTTAACTTTCGAGATTAGCAAACACATTTTCGCAATCTATACAGAGTGTTTTTAAATTAAACGTCGATATTTGAAGAAACGATTGTTGAATACTCCTTATCACATGAATTTTGTAAAAGTGGCTTAACTTTCGAGATAAGCAAACACATTTTCACAACTATACAGGGTGTTTTGTAATTTAACGTCGATATTTAAGGAGACGATTTTTGAGTATGTTCCAAGAACTGCTCTTCATATGAATTTTGCAAAAATTGCTTAACTTTCGAGATAGGCAAAAGACATTTTCGCGACTATACAGGGTGTATGGTAAATGAACGTCGATGTTTGAGAAGATGATTTTTGAGTTAGTTCTAACACGGATTTTGTAGCTTAACTTCCGAGATACGCAAACACATTTTCGCAACTATACAGGGTGTTTTGTAATTAAAAAAAAACAAATCTTCATACGAACTTTTTACACAGAGTGTTTTGTAAATGAACGTCGATATTTAAGGATGTTTTAAGAACAGGTCTTCGTATGGACTTTGTATAAATGGTTTAACTTTCAATATAAGCAAAAATATATTTTGCAGAGATCGAGACGGTCACACTGTCATATTTATTTTGAATATAATCAATGCAATTGATGATAAATTAATGTTTATTCATAAAAATAATCAACTTAACGATCACAATCGCAAGTTCTCCGATAAGCTCCGAGTGGCCGATTCGGTTTAAATTTCGCGCCACGTTCTGATTGGCCGGCGACGGGCTCGCGCGCAGACGGACAAAAACCTCGACATTAATTGATCGATAGCGTTCAATCAGCGTCGAAGCGACATTTAAAAAGCCACTTCGCGTATACGTAACGACGTGTCGTGTGTCACTATGTACGAGACTAATGTGAATTTTTAATTGCGACTCGCGGATCGTGGCCAATTAGCATACTTATTAACTGCTAGAAAACGTGTACCGCTGTCAAACGATTACGGCAATTAAAACCATTAATTTTGATTTATCGCCGTTTTCGTATTAATTGATTATTGCTTACGTGTGTCCCGGCCCGTCTGAAATATGGTTAAATAGATGAATTTAATTACACGCTAAATGGTTTATGGGCAGGCTTGCGTTATTTATCGATTCGTTATTTATATTTAGCCGCGAATTCCAATTAAACCGATTCGCTTGTTTGCGCCGCGCTTAAGGTGGGCGCGGTGGCGCATATACGGGGCGAATAGAAAAAACGTGTTCGTAAAATAAATTGGGAAACGACGGCAATAATAGTCAGATGTAGGCGGAATAACTTGTCCCGTCAGAGACTCAGCTCCTCTTCACCCTCCACTGGTATACAAATTTTTTATAACGTAACTGGTATTACGGGGGTTTTTATATATAGTGTACGGGAGTTTACTGTTAGAGGCCATCTCCTTCTGATAACTTGCACCTTTTTGATCCAAACTATCCATATCTTATTTCGTAATTCATTTATTTCTGGTTTATTGGATCCCCCATCACTATGGTGCATTGGAGATAGCAGTATTTCACTCCTGTTTGGTTTCGGAACAGGGCAGGAACTGTGCCGAAATCTCTTTTTCATTTTTTTTCATAGTACTCGATTTAAGTTCAGACACTAATTCATTAGAAGTAAACCCATTATCTCTCGTAATATTTCAATTTGTATTGTCAATCGGTGAAACAAGATCTATGTCCAGATCCCAGATTTAAAAACACTGGCTAATGTACTCGAACCCAAAAATGCTTTGAGTTGAGTTGAGTACTTATTTGATTAACGTATGTAACATTTTTACTGTGATATTTGGCGGGCAATTCTGTAATCTTTGCATTAGTATGCTCCAGAATGGCTTCTAGAATATCGTCTGTGAATAAGAGTTGCCAAGCCTAGAGGGGACTAGTTGCGTTAGTTAGTTTTGCTGGTCCTCTCAAACCAAGAAGGTGGTGGGAGTTAGAAATAATTAGATGAGGAGTTTTCTTCATTAGATGCGTCGCCAGATAGGGAATTATTCGAGTCATCTTGAATGTTATCTCCATCGTGTTCGCTTTTAGGACCAGACAGATCCCTATTTGAGTCTTCGAAATCTCCAGATACTCTTGACCCTTCTTATAGATTACTATCCTTCATAAAAATGGCTTTAAGCCGTTTATCAGTTAATTATATGTTACACCTCTTCTATGAAATCAATATACGTAGTCCCCCTTCTAGTCGCTAGGTGGCACCACAGCTTTAAAGCAGAGCCAAAAAACTGTGGAATAACTTACCATGGACGGTATATTCGCCATCTATGGTCTTAACCTCATTCCTCTTTTTGTGCTTTGGTGGCACATGTTCATTTTTATTCGGCGTCGGTGTTTTCAGCTTTTTTCAGCGTTTTTGGAAGTTAAATGGAGAAGTACAAGTGAGATTTACGTGATTCCTTATCGGATGAAGAAAGAACCTACCTACGACGAAAGATTAAATCTTTCCATCCGCGATTACATAATCGCTAGTGGCGTGGTTCCCATCAACGAGATTTTCTTACAATTGGGAGACGATTTCTTCATCGTCCGGGTTCCGATCGGAATCCCCAGAACTCGAAAGACCCCCCATCTTTCCCACTTATACGACAGCAGTCGTATGTAAGTGTTTTACAATTGGAAGCAATCCTTTTGTGAGGGGGTCGGCCATACATATGGTTTTATATTTTTTCGACATCGAAAAAATAGAGTTTTCTGGCTCGTCCGGCTATGGATGAGGCGCCCGGGATACTGGGACATAATGAACAATTTTTTATGGCTGTTGGAATGCATTTACTCCATCGTAAGTATATTTTTAGGTTCAGTATATAGAAGTTCAGCCGTGTTAAGCCTTTCGCTGGTCTCAAATGAAATGCAGCCTTGTATGAAGGAAGTGCTCGTTGATGCTTCTTTGCACTCTTGTTTATATGGAGAAGATTTGGCTGATAGGCTCAAATCAATCAGATTAGCTGCAGATTAGTGGCCGAGTTAAAGTCAGGTGCATCCGGAACAAGGCTTTTATAGCATACAAATTTAAACTCGACCGTCCCACTTCGTTCCCGGAAGTTGCAAGGCTGAAGTGGGTGAAAGTCATTGTACCCTCAAAAGAGGGAATACAGGAAGGTTCGAGAGGAAAGGGGGTGGAGTTGTGTCCCCAGGAAAAAATAGTAAGTACTTTTGTTGAAAGATTGCACGAGTTTCGGGACATTTGGAACTCTAGAACTCAAGATGCACAGATTCTACCTTGGTTAGATGGATATAAAATTCCTTTTGCGAGGCCAGTTATACAGGACTTGATTACGACAGATCCTGTTTGGTCCCAACAAGAAAAAGATTCAATTTGTAATGTGGTCAAACACCTGTTAGAGATAGGTGCAATTGCAGTTTGCGAACCTTGTAAGAATCAATTTATTTTACAGATCTTTTTGGTTTCAAAATTGGATGGTTCGGTTTGATTAGTTTTAAATTTAAAGAAACTGAATGCTTTTATTGACACTTGTCATTTTAAACTGGAAGACAGAAAATTAGTAGAAACACTCTTCACAAGGAAGTCCTTTATGACCACTCTGGACTTGAAAGAAGCTTACTTTCTAGTCCCAATAATTAAAAATCAAAAGAATTTTCTAAGATTTTATTTTGATGCTCTCTGTTATCAGTTTAACGTGTTACCCTTTGGTTTATGCACCGCCCCGTGGGCCTTTACAGAATTAATGAAATCTGTGGTTTCTTATCTCCCTGCCAAGGCTTTTCCCTCAATAGTTTATTTAGATAACTTTACTATTTGGTGATAGTTAGCTATCCTTAAAAAATGTTCAAGTAACTTGCAACACACTGATTAGGTTGGGTTATGTTATTAATTATAAGAATGTTTTACATCCTTCGAAATCCCGTAAATTTTTAGGTTTTGTTTTTTTGAATCCCACCACTTGTTTTTTGTGATGAGTAAGTAAGTTTTGCAATTTGAACCGTTGCGAAATAAGAGTCTTTGCCGAGCTTTGTGCTGTGCTAGTTTTCAGTTTGCCCAGCAGTTTGTTACAGTTGGGTATATACTAAGAATTTTTGAGAGAATCAAATATCTAGACTCTGTCGATAATTATGATATTTGGATGATAATTCCTTGTAATTTACGGAGGGATTTTATGTGATGGCTAAAAAGTTTGCAGAATCCTGAATGCCCTGTAAGGCAGCAATGTTACAAACTTGAGATTTTCTCAGATGGTACTCCTTTGGGTTGGGGAATTGTGCCAGAGAACTTTGGAGTCCTAGGGAAGCTCAGTTTCATATTAATGCACTAGAATTAACTGCGGCCTCATTTGGTCTCTAATGCTTCGCCTCGTATTTGACTAACTGCGAGACACTTTTGAGGATTGATAACACAACTGCTATTTTGTATGTAAATAGAATAGGGTGAGTAAAATTTCCTGTTTTAAACGAAATTTCGAGGCGCCTTGGAGTTGGTGTGAAGAAAGGAGGTTATGGGTTAAAGCATCTTACATTCGATCTTCCGATAATTTTGAAGCGCATAAGGAACCCACGAATTTGAATTTTGATGGTGAATGGTACCTTTCGGACAATGCTTTTGCTAAAATAACAAGCAAATTTGGATTCCCATAAATCGAACTGTTTGCTTCTCGCCTAAGTAAGAAATGCGGAAAGTTTATTTCCTAATTTCCAGATCCGGAGGCATCTAATGAAGACTCGTTTACTGTTTTTTGGAGCGACAGTTTCTTCTATGTTTTCCCCCCGTTTTGCTTGTTGCCACTTGTTTTACGAAAAATCAAGGCTGATTGAGCTACAGGGATCGCAGTAATCCCTTACGGGCACAGCCAGCATTGGTTTGCTTTTTTTTCATGGGAGGCGTTGTAGTTATTTATTGTTTCTAATTCCAGACAAATTACCTTCTTCTTTTGACAGGAGAGGTCACCCTTTGTGGAAATCCCTTACCCTGGCTGCAGGGATTTTGTCAGGCAAGCATTCCAGAAGATTTGCTGGATATTTTTCTATCATCTGTTCAGAGCGCTACCTTGAGGCATTTAATACCTGCATGCATTTAAACTTTGGTGGAGCTTCTACGAAAGGAGGGGAGTGGAGTGTTATTACTTCTCACCTAGGCTGTATTAGATTTCCTTACTATTCATTTTAGACAAGGCAAGTCCTATGGCTCATTGAGTTCTTTCAGTGCAGCACGGCCTTATTTTTGGATCAGATTTATTTAACAATGCAAATCTAAATAGGTTTTTTAAGGTGTTTATAATCTAAGGCCAAGTAAACCAAGATATAACAGCACTTGGGGCCCTAGTTATGTCCCTGACTTTGTAAAAGGGTTACGTTCTAATGACTTGTCATTAAAGCAATTAACTGTCATTAAAACAATTAAATTAGTTTCTCCTACTGAAGTTAACGATTGTACATAGAGTCCAAACGCTCTCTCTTATAGAATTGGTCAACATAAAATCATTTCCAGATGGATTAGAAATTAGAATAACGAATCAAATTAAGATTTCAGCTATAAATAAGACTCGACCTGTTTTTTAATTTTGCATAAATATGAAGATGTAAATCTTTGTGTGGTTTCAAATATATTATTGAGAGGGCCAGTGCTTTAAGAGGCAGCGAATCTCGTTTACTCATTACATTTAAAAAGCCTTGTAGGGCAGCAACTATACCCAACAAAAGTAGATGAATAAAGATAACTTTAGAAGATAGTGGTGTCTACACTTTTATTTTTACTGTTCACAGAACTCGACATGCCTCAACATCGTCTGCGTTTTGTAAAGGTGTTTCAATTGATATGATTGGAAAAACGGCAGATTGGTGAGAATGCTCTAAATGTTTTCCCCTTTTTTATAATAGACCTATTTGTACAGCAAGTGCAGGCCTTTTTGTTAATGCCACATTTGGGACATAGAATTTTTCAGAAGGTTTGTTTTCTCGGATAGCCATTTATTTTGTATTTGTACTCGAGGCTTTCATAAACTTCCTGGATTTCCTTATATAGCCGAATAAAATCGTTTTATAACAAATTTGCTGAGTTGCCTTTGAAAGTCTACGTATATTGATTTCATAGAAGAGGTGTAACATATGATTCAATGATCAAACGAACTTACCTGGTAAGTGAAGTTCGATCGTAATTATATGTTACACCTCTTCGTAGAAATCACCCATTCCCGCCCAATTTACTGTTCTGAACAGTACAAAAATGCCCTTTGGCAAATTTATTATAAACGGGCTTTAAAATAGAATGAGGTTAAGACCATAGATGGCGAATATACCGTCCATGGTAAGTTATTCCACAGCTTTTTGGCTCTGTTTTAAAGCTGTGGTGCCACCTAGCGACTAGAAGGGGGACTACGTATATTGATTTCATAGAAGAGGTGTAACATATAATTACGATCGAACTTCACTTACCAGGTAAGTTCGTTTGATCATTGAAAAAATTGCGCCATATTTAATCTGAAACACTAACGTAACTGAGACTAAAGGATTTTTTAAAAATTTATTTATTTTATTATATTATTTATTTATTGATATATATGATATATTTGTATCGTATATCAACTTTCGTTTTTTTATTGGAACACCCTGTATATTATTTTATTCATATATTGTAAGGGTTAATATAGGCTGCATTTTTGGATTCATCATTCTACGTAGGATAGGACGGTTTTTCTATTTTTTTTTAATTTTAATTTAATTTTGAAAAATAGTGTCTAAGGGGCTGTTACCATCATAATTACTATATACACCGGGTCCTGTTCGTGGGAAAAATTGTAAATGAAACTTTTCTTTACTTGTCTAATGGTTTGCAACATTTTGACCCCAAAATTTTCAAAATTCGTTAAAAAATAAGCTCACAAGAAGGAGAAAACCAGATAAATAAATACATTTTTATAATAACGAAATATTACTCTATCTCTATTGCTAATATTCATCGTTGTACATTTCGAATTTTATTTTTTTAATAATACTAACGCTAATGTGTTTTTTTCTTTCCACTGCATGAGCTTCTCGAGAGTTTCTTCTGCATTTTTAATCTTACCGACTTGACAATTAATAATAAATAGAGCAAAGCCACCTAAACAATATTTTGTTTTTTAAAAATGTATTTACTTTTGGTTTTTTCCTTCCAGTGAGCTTATTTTTTGAAAATTTTGGTGTCATAATGTTGTAAAAAAACCAGTTTTAAAAAGCTTTTGTTGTCACTAGTAACTAGGTTCTCATAAAAAAATTATAGATTATTACATTAAATTAGACAATTGAAAAAAAGTTTCACTTTCAATCTTTCCCGGTAAATACTATTATACTACTATACTACGCTAACATCAAATATGGGCTATTGTAATTGCAATTGTGAAAACCAGAATTTTTCAAAAAAAAATTAAAATATTGCGAAAAAAAAAGTTTCAAAATTTCAAAATGAATTCAAAACAAGAAGTTTTTTTTAGCCCCTCGGTATACTTTAACCTATATTTTTGTATTTACCTTTGTAATTTTTGAAAGCAATGAACTTTACTCTCTCGTGGACTCACCTTGTATATGTATGGGTTCAATTTACAGTAAGTTACATTTATTGATGACTCTCTGTATTATGGACTTAGCTGGCTAGTTTATATGTAGACTTCTGTTTGACGTAATTTCACTTTTTTT